CCGATGGATCGGAGGCGAGTGGTATGCTTGAGGAGTGACAGTTGAGTCTTTGTGCAATTAGTTTGTCTGCATTATGAATCGTCATTGTTGGTTCGGGATACAAGCCATCTTAGACTGGCCTCTTTTCCGAGGATTGATAGCTTGTGAGAGGCTCTTACACTGTAACACAACCGGGGTTTGATAAATTACCGCTGAATACTGAATACGAGATAGCATTAACATATTAGCGTGCTTGTGACTACTGAGATACTATTGAAATTCTATACATATCAGAAGCTAATGATGGACTTGTTACAACAGATTAATTACGAAAACCTCGATGCTTGTGGCCAGGAGGTCTCGTACTCAAGATCGTTGTATGGAGTTCAATCTTGTCTCGTACCCTCAAACGAGGTATCCGGCTCTAGATCATGCGTGGAAAGTCAAGCCTGACCGAGCAATGGCATAAGACAAATTCATATCAAATGTATGCTTTACCTACCTTCTGACAGCCTCCCAAGAATGTGGCTACCTACTAAATAAAGTAAGGTGAATCGACACGATTATGTTACGTGTGCAGAGGTGCGCCTCGCTTCGATTTTGCTGGACAGTTTCAGTCACGCGGAGTTCGTGCTGTAGGCATGCAAATTCGATGCAACCTTTGCTTTCACGGGGAAGATGTGTCGCATTCTAGTTGGCTCGTCTTGTGACTTGCTGTCTTGACTGTTGAAGGATTGAAGTGGAGAAGTTGCAATGTTTTTCAATGCTGTTTGGCAGGTTCCTGCCTCTTAAGAATTTGACAGAGTGGGCCAACTGGGTCAACTGGCAAACACCAACACCACCACCGCCACGGCACGGCACGGCCACCAGCCTCTGGTCACTAGCCACCTCCTGACCAGGACTTATCATCTATATTTACTCTTCCGAAGTCCTTCGCAAGGGAAAAGAAAGTATCTTGATGGGTGCCCTCTCAGTAAATATACAGTTAGTGGTTCAGAGTCCATCCTACATACCTAACCCGAGTATGCCTGGTTCCCTCTTTCCTAATTAACAAGACACACGGCAATAGACCCTACCAACATTGAGGTTGAGTATTCGACAGACACAGGAACGAGTCTTAACCATTGCAAGATGTAGCAACTGACACATCTTATTACCCTTCTGAGGATTTCGTTGGCATAAAACATGGGTTATCAGCAGCCTTTACCTTCCATGACATGCCTCGTTGAGGAAGTCGACACTACCATGTGTAAAGATGGCGACTACCGAAGCATAATCAGCATAATCAAATGTCAACGACATCTAACAAAGTCCCCATAACATTTTCTAGGAATATTCCTGACGACATGTCCTCCAAGTCATGCATCTATTCCGTATCCTTGAATAGCCTAAGTAATGTCGAGTTATTGCACATGAGTATTCCCAATGGAGCAAATCCCGGTACTGTTCAACTGGCCGACAATCCCCCCTCGCCGACTGTCCATCATCTTTGTCGGGTTGATTATGTGTCTCCTGTACTCCCGGCAATATGGATACAGTATGAGAGCCAAATAGCCAGAAGTCCATCCTCTCATACCACGCTGGTGCTAACCGCCCGACAGGCCAACAGGATCCCTACCGCTGTCAAGCTCTCCTGAATGACGGAGAGTGGTCTCCTGCTTCCTTGAACCAGTCCAGGAGATGGGAACCAGAGGGTTGTCGTATGGTCGAATATTCCGGACAGGATATCCACAACTGCCTCGACGGTCAAAAAATCGTTCTCGTCGGAGACTCTACGATCCGACAGCTGTTCTGGGCTGTCGTGAAGAAGCTTGATCCTACCCAGGCCAAGGCCGAAGCCAAGGATGTCCTCGCAACCGAGAGGAGGCACCGAGACCTCTCATTTGAGTCCAACGGCGTCAAAATCGAATACATATGGGATACCTGGCTTAATTCAACTGCCTTGAAAGACACACTAGAGACGTTTCACCCTCTGCCTTCTCCCCAGAAAGGTTCCACCGTTGTAGCGCATGACGGGTCACAACCTGCACTCGTCCTCGTAGGCGCTCCCGGTCTATGGGCTGCGAGATTTGGCGGAGACGAGTCTCTGGATATCTTCAAGCACGGAGTCAGCAGTATCGCGCCGTACCTATCATCCAGCCTGGAGCAGGACATATCGCTGGCAAAAGCCCAGGGCTTGACTGGCAGTGCGAATCAAATATTCTTAGCTCCAGTTCCGGTCCCAGATTACGACCGTCTCTCTCCGAACCGGTCCGGTACGATCACGCCGGAGCGAATCGAGGAGCTGAACAGACACCTCCTAAACCTAACTCGGACCCAGCAATCGCATATTCCCTGGACCTACAACGAATTAACCGCGGACTATGGAGAACTCCATAAACCGGATGGCTTGCACGCTTCGGAAAGCGTGGCGGCGCACAAGCTCGACATTATCCTCAACGCCCGCTGCAACGCCGTATCAAGCGCCCGCTCTCGCTCGTTCAGGGGTACCTGCTGCGTTGCAAAGTCTCAAGGCTACATAGTGACCGGGCTTGTCTTCTTATGGGTCATCGCCGTGTTATCCCGCATCCCACTCCACCTCATGATGCAGATACGTCACCAGAAGTTCTTTCGGTTTGACACGTTGGACGCAGGCTTGGTCTTGTTCTCTGTCCTGGTCTGGTGCTGGATCTGCGACGCGACCAATACGGTAGGCCACGTCGAACGCCATTATCAGCAATCCGAATTCGTGGTAGCCTGCTTACTCTGGCTGTCGACGAGTTTCGCGACTGCATTCAGGAACGAGACGCCGTCCGATGACAAGCTCACGCCAATCCAGCGATTAACACAGAGCCCTCCGGGATACAAGGGCCCGGGGTATTTCTCGCGAGAGCACGCCGATGAGATCAAGGGCCTGATGCAAGGGTTCATATTGCTCTACCACTTCTACCACGCCTCCCAGGCGCTATGGGTATACAAGGTCATCCGGCTGTTCATGTCGGGGTACATCTACCTCTCCGGGTACGGGCACACGATGTACATGCTCAAGACGCGAGACTACTCCGGCGCGCGCGTGGCCGCGGTCCTCTTCCGGCTCAACGTTCTCAGCGCGCTGCTGCCTTACTTCACCGGCACCGAGTACACGCTGTACTACTTCGCGCCCGTCGTCAGCTTCTGGTACCTGGTAACGTGGGTGGCGCTGCGCTTCTTCAGCTGCCGCAACCGCCACCTGGTCTGGCTGGTCATCAAGCTGGCCCTCACGGCGCTGCTGACCGACTGGTTGATCAGGACCCCCGGCGTCCTCGAGCTGCTGGCGCAGGCCTCGGAGATGTCGTTCCGCTTGCACTGGGACGCGGCGGAAATGCGCTTCCGCCTGCAGCTCGACCGCTACGCCGTCTACGTCGGCGTCCTGGCCGCGGCCCTCGTGCACCGCGCTTCAGTGCGGCGCGCGCGTCTGGCCCTGGCACTGGGCCACCACCGCATCAAAAACGCGCGCGGCAGACTCGCCACGGCGACGAGGCGCCAGCTCCTGAATGTCGCGTGCGTGTACGCCATCGCGATCTTCCTGTACGTGACGCAGCGCGGCGAGCGCTTCGGCGCCAAGGAACGCTACAACGCCGTGCACCCGTACATCGCGTGGGTCCCGGTCCTGGCGTACGTCATCCTGCGCAACAGCTTCTGCCACGACTACGCGCTGGGCCTGCCGGCGGCGCTGGGCCGCTTTGCGCTCGAGACGTATGTCCTGCAGCATCATATCTGGCTTGGTGGCGATGCTACGGCGCGGCTGCATCTGGGCGTGCTGGCGGGCGTTTGGGGCCGTCGCTTTGAGAGCGTGCTGCTGGGCTTGGCGTTTTGGGGCGTGGCTGCGCTTACGCATGCTGCTACGGAGACTCTGGCTCGTCGGATGGATGGGCGTTGGTTTGGGGTTTTTGTTTTGGCGCTTTGGGGTGCTAATGTGGTTTATGGTTGGTAGATTGTAGATGGTGGGTGGTGGATGGGATGGACTGGGGGTTCACGTTCACGGCGAGGGGTTTCACGGCGAGCGAGGATCGGGAACGAGTGGTGGGAGGTAGGTCGGCCTGGAGATGATGGCTTGGTTTGGTTTTGTCTTGTCTGGTCTGGTCTTGGGTTGCGATATCGGTTGAGTTTCGAGTTTGTTGAATGTTGAATAGGGGTAAAGAGCGTTTCTGGGTTGCGGACTTGACTGGAATTGACTGGGCTGTTTCTGATAGTTAGCGATTGTATGGATAGTAATAACAGCGAAGCATGTATACGAGAAGCGTGATATGGTTCGTGAAGTTTTGTACTTATGTGTTGATGACTGCGTCTTCTTGGGTTCTTCTTGGTCTTGTAGAGATGTTGTGAAGTTGTTAGGGATTTGTCGGTATTGTTGATTTATTCAACACTCATGTAGAAAGATACTTGGATGTATCCGTTAACATTGGTAATTAACGGTGAAGGTATTTGAGTATTAGAGCATTCATGAGTATGTATCTCAGTTTGACAAAAGCCCCGCGAGCTGCTAATGTGAGCTCGAAGGGATCTCCGCCCTTCTTCAACAAGTTCATTAGTGGAGCTGTGATCTTGGAATATTCTCGTATGAAATCCCGATAATACCCAGTGAAGCCAAAGAAATGCTATGCTTCTTTCACGCTGCTGGGTGGCAGTGTATCTTGTATAGCTCCTGCTGTAGCTGTGTCAATGAACAACATATCCTAGGAAGGTATTGTGAAGATCGCAGTCTTAGACTGCGTGGAAGGGTTGATTAGGAATTCATTAGGAAGCGCGAAGGTGTGAAGAAAGGGCTGGATGGAGGATGTGATAGGGGTCACGGAATAAAAGGGGGTCTCAGCAGAGTGGCAAATTGGAACAGTCATTCGTGTATGTTGACTGGCAGAGCTGGGCGGTTGGAGTTAGTGGGAGAATGGGACAAGATCTGGAAGGTACCTCTCCGTCGCACCTACGTATCGTGCGCTGTGCTGGCGTTTTCCCAGAGAAATTCCGGTTGACCTTATAAGGCTAGTTGTTCAGAAAGCTCCTAACGCCTGGTGGTGCAGTCGGCAGCACGCTCTGGTCAAGTGGATAGTGCGGCGCTCTTGGATGACGCGCCGCCGCCTGATCCCACTTTGGTGAGTAGGGACAGGACATTTCTCCGGAGAGACGCAGGTTCAAATCCTGCCCAGGCGATTTTTTTGCATTTCCCCCTTTTCCATTTCTCCTTTTTTGTTTTTGCCATTTTGTATTCATTCTAACGCTTTCTTTTCTTTCTACCAAGGCATCTCTTCCCTTATTCCCTTATTCCCTTTTTTCCCTTCCTTCTTCTCATCTGCCTTAGTCCATTTCTCTCTTCCCACCCCCCTATTCAGGAGAAGAGGCGAGATAGGGGTAACAAGGAATGCAGAACTGGATACGCCTAAAGATATTATTGAATGCCTATCATATCAAGAGAGATGTTTAAACGGTCTTTATATGTAAAAGGATATGGTAATAAAAAGAAAAAAAAGGGTTCCCTTGCGTTTGCATGCGCTTCATCTGTCTTGCGACAAGTCTTACTCATCTACCAACTATCTTCACATGTCGGCGACGATATCATAACGGACCTTTCAATTCGCTGTTGGCATTGACAAATCTTATCTATCGATGGATTGAATCCTCGCGCTGGAAATATTCAACAAGAAGAATATTAGTCTTGACCTTCATATTGATATTCCGCAAAAGCGTCGCCGCCATCGCAAACAAGCAATCGCGCTTTATTGTGACAGGTGACAAAGATCTGAAGCACGAAGCGGCTGTTTACATGTAGGTTTGTCTCTAGGAGCATGCGGCGTGCTCAGCATGGATTTATCTATGTTTACCAGTCCAAAGAGACAGCCGATATTCTGCGGTTAACATTATCAGCACACATCATGATCCCCTGACTGCTCCCATGGGCCGCTTCGTTCAGGCTCATGTGCGGTGTGCAAAGGAAAAAAGGGGCAGCGATAAAGCCGAACGATCAGAGACTATGTTCGTCGATGGAAAGGAGAAAAGGGCAGGGACGGGTAGTAAAGGCGTTAGATCAGACCGTATAATATCGGGATATCGTGAGGTGAATGAAGCTTGTACTGCGTATCATTAGCCCACATCACGCCAAGGATAGCTGGTCTACCCAAGAATACCATACTGGAAGCATCATTTCGCAATTTCATACGGAAAGCAACTATATTATTGGCTAACATTATCATCTTTTAATGCCCGCCACCTGTCCATGGATCCAAATTCATCAACACTGTAGTTCTCAATCTGTTTGTCTAATCCTCATCTTGAAATACATTCTCCTCCGTACACACCAGCACAGGCTGAGCCGAGTCCGGCAATCGTAGCTAGGCACCAAGCCAGAGTAGCAGATTCCCAGTCCATCTCCTTGGCTGGTAATATATCCCCTTCTACTAGCTCTTTTGCCTCTGACGGAGCAGGTTCGTACGGTTTTTCGTCTTCATGTAGTTTAGTTTTCTTGGGTCGTCCTCTTCGACCTGGAGTTCTTGTCCCTTCCTCGCTGAAGCCACTCGAGCTCGTGACGCTTCCCAGCCTTGTTTTAGCCGGCCTTCCCCGGCGTCTTAAAGTCATCGAGTGCTCGGACGCAGCCTCGTCGGTTGGCTCAGATTCAGATTTGATGGGAGTGTTTGGTGTCTCATCCCTGGCAACGTGCTGGGGTTTGCGGTGAGAATCATAGAACGGGATTATAGACTCGGCGATGTCTTGAATATCTGTGGCACGGACGGCGGCCCATAGGCCAAGACTAAGCGTGGAAACGAGGACATCCCATCCCAAGGCCTCTACAGCAGGATGGTCCGACATGGAACCGAGGACCTTGCCTAGTGCTGTGGTGCTTCGTTCCCAGGCGGTCCGTTCCTCCACATCCCAGGGTAGGAAAGCACTGTGACGATGATAATGGGAATTGGGAACATTGTAGACCAGTCCTGCAATGGTAGACTTGACGTGTAACGCAAAAGATGCTGCGGAGATAGTTCTGAATATCGTTGCAAAAGATCCATATGCGTCATGGGGATGTGGATGAACAGAGCCCCAACTGAGCGGCGCAACTTTTGGCAGAATAAGGGGTAAGAAAGTTGAAACTCGGGCAACAAGCACGACGTTCGCAAATGATGATGTCGCCGCAGCGTAAGGGAGTAGGGAAATTGACCCGTAGTTCAACGCCAATGTCGTCAACAGTATGAAAGGATGCAGATACCAATTATTTGGTTTCGCGGGAATGATCTTGTCGCGAATCTGGATCAACTTTGATGTGGGGACAGGCACGACTGGTAGCCCAAGGCGTTCGTCTTCTGAGGGTAGCGGTGATGGCGTGAGGAGGAGAGCGAGAAAGAAGAAATTCTGGGCAAATGACAGGTTGACAAGATGGGCTAAGGCTAGAAAGGCGGCAGTGAAGGGTATCTTTCGTCGTCTTCCCTCTATTGATAACAACATGCTGAACGCCACCATCGCGAGATCGACCTGTTGACTCCACCAGAAACGACGAGCCTTTTCTACGACGATTTCCAGGGCATCGTAGTAGATTGGGGTGTCGTTCAACCACTGAGCAATGTGCGTGAAGCTCAAATTACTCGAGCCCTTAGATTCCGGGAACAGTTCTTCGTCGGTCATGAATCTAGAGCTGCGTTAGACTTTCGATGCTGCCAAATTAGGTAGCCAGTTGAGAATGGAATGACAATACCGTTCTGGCCGATGAAGGCTGTGCTCGTGCGCCCAAGTCCTATACGACAGAACAGCAGAAGCGCCAGTGGTATACGTCGCCAAGCACAATGATACAACTGCTAGTCCGAGGAAAGCCGGGACTAGTCTCTTGCGCTGCGCAAGGCGAGATCGCGTGTCTTGGGCTGGGCTCAGGGCCTTATATGACGTATAGAGACTGGCAGCGAGGGCGTATGTCAAGTAGACAATCGATACAAGATGAGCACCAATGACGCCTAGGGGAGCGTACCTATATGATTGCTGTTATTGACATGTCTGATGTTGAGTAACGATGGAGTAGCGCATACCTCACCGGGTGCTGGAATGGCACGGGCGCCATCTCGAGCTGCCTGACTTGCTCGGAAAAATCAAAGTGGTGAAATACAAAATGACCTCAGCTGTCGAACAGGCTGAAATGCATCCAAGGGTAGAAGTGTATGTTGACCTTTCAGCTTCTAGAGCATCATAGCATGTAGGTAGGTAAATATAGATAGGGCAGACCAGTGCCTCTCAGTTGGGTACCGGGAACTGGGAACTGGGAAGATCCCATGAAGAGGATCCCACGAAGAGGGGGGTCAATTGGGTCAACGTGACGCCATGTATTTGATACCGTTGGATTGGCTACGGTCTCACCAAGATAAAGTTTAAAGTTCCAGTGCAATGGGTTGAGTTAGCGACTTGGATGGACTGAAACAGGACCTACTTACTTTATCAAGTAGGTAGTACCTACATTTACCATACCTGAATAACTGTATCGTTCTCCTTTTATATTTCATACGTTATAGATGTAACTTACGTGCTTAGATTGTTCAAAGAATGATTATATATCGAATTGAACATTACTCCCTCATGTATGTCACCTGCAGAGCAGCCAGCTAGGTACCTTAACCTTCCCTGTGGAGAATATTGGGACTATTCCTAGAATAGTTTAGACTACGACGTACAGCATCTTATAAAGTGGGGGAGTGCTTTAGCATACGATTGGAGCTACGTACCGCGCACGAGCCACGAACTCCTTCATTGGCTAGGGGTAGACCATCTAAAACATCACCACCAGACCCTTATCACCTCGATTCCGCTCCTTATCGAGCCCAAAAGAATATGTATCACCTAGCCAAATCGCTGTACCTTCTGGCGCGGAGGAGGGAGGAGTACTCGGTGATACTTCTGGGGCTGGACAACGCGGGCAAGACGACGTTCCATGAGCAGGCCAAGTCGCTGTTCCTGCCCGAGCACCCGGACCCGAAGCTCAAGACGGTGCCGACGGTGGGCCAGAACGTGTCGACCCTGACCCTGCCCGACATGTACCTCAAGATCTGGGACGTCGGCGGCCAGCTCAGCCTGCGCAAGCTGTGGCAGAGCTACTACGCCAGCTGCCACGCCATCGTCTTCATCATCGACAGCACCGACATCGGCGACGGCAACCTCGAGCACGACAACTCCGGCCGCCTCGACGAGTGCCGCCTGGTGCTAGAGGACGTGCTGCAGAACTCCGAGACCGAGGGCGTTCCTCTCCTGATATTGGCCAACAAGCAGGACCGCGAGGACTGCGTCGAGGTCGTTCGCATAAAGGAGGGTCTGGTCAAGAAAGTGTTCGAGGGCGAGAAGGCGTCGAGCATTCGCGATTCGAGGGTATTGCCCGTGAGCGCTTTGACTGGTACTGGTGTACGGGAAGCAGTCGAGTGGGTTAGGTCGAGGGTTAAGTGGAATAAAGAGTCAAGGCCACCGGTGATGAGGTAGCGGGGCAGGTATGAAGTGATACTGGGTGTCGCATTGTATATTCGGTTCAAAGATGTCAGGAGTTGGCTCAAAGTTGCATTTAGCGTCATGGGAAACGGCGTTTGGGGTTGGAGTTGGGGGCTTGCGGCTCAAGCTCATTCATCGAGAGATTGTTGGCCTCAAGTCATGGGTATCTTATTTATTCATTCACGCGACTGGCAAGTCTTGTCTGCTATCTCTCATTTTCTGCGGACAGCTCTGCTAAAAGCCCACCTTTGTCCCTACGTTTTGAGTCCTCGCCAGCCTCTGATCTAAGAATGTCGAGAACTCCTTAACCTTGCTGAGGGCGACGCTCGTGCATTGGATCAGCATGGCTGCCTCTACAGGTGTGCCTCCTAATTTTGCGATCTGGCAGACCTCTCCGTGTCTGTTAAGACTGATAGTACAGCTAGAAACTCTCAACTGTTCCTCCAAGAGGTTTGCGTCTAGCAACGCAATCTCCCCTTCTCCGTAGAAGCTGAACGTGACGCAGAATGGTGAATGTAACCAACTTAAAGGAACAGGCTCTCTTTCAGCAGGCGTGTACACGGTCAACACCTCCCCCTCTATACTCGTGTCTGGTTTTCTGAAGTGGCGCAACGCTGCTACTACAGCGAAGCAAGACCCATCAATCAGATTGCCATCGTGTGAGAGCACGTGCAGGTCGACTCTTATAGACCAGCACTTCTGGCTCGCAA